TATTAATTTTTAAAAACTGCAATAACTTGCATAACAGTGTAATTGTAGGACTTAATTGTTGAAGATGACAAATTTTTTTTGATACTCATTTAAAATCATAACTCAAAGTTTAGAATTATTCAGATTGAATACCAAAAGCACCCAGAATGATATTGAATTTCTAGTTTCCTCTTTTCTGCCACTTTTTCTTCCACTCAGAATTACTTTTCAGAAAATTTAAAATAAGATTCTTTTGAGGAAAGATGTTATACAAATCTAAACATGAATGCAAATATACATGTAAGTGTGTGTGTATTTATTGTGAGTGTGTGTGTTTACAAACCAGAAGAAAAATGCTTCTGAGCCAAGTTTACACTTGCTGATAATTAATGTTTCAGTTGTGTAATAAGCATCTCAAAACACTTTGTAGTTCTGTGAATTTATTTTACACATTTTAACATTGTAACAGGACTCTGTCATTTTGGCTATAGTATAGAAAAGTGGTCTTCCAAACATTTTTGATCCTGTGCCTCACCTGTTAAAAAAAGTTTTGAGTTCGTATCTAAATATTATATTTATAAATTATATGCATGTACTGTAGTGCTAAAATTATGTTACAATGCTTTTGCAAAAAATAAGTGACTAAAAAGGCAAAAACGTTGATCTTTTCTTCCCACAGTTCAATGAAGACTACTTAAATCATCTTTGATTTAATATAAGTTTTCCCTTATAATACCCTGGTAATAGAATATCTTTTTTTCTTTTGGCATTTTTGTCTAAGATTTATTGTTTATTCATACAAAGTTTAAAGCGTTGATACTAAGGAAAAACCACCTTCTCTCTACCCATCTCCCACAGGCATACCTTTCCAGTCTTAAAGTATGTTTTATGAAAGTTCTTTATATATTGTCTCCCAGGGAAGAGATCAGTATAAGTTAAGCTACCTCATTCTCATGTATAAACCCCTGAGATTTAGATAACCCCCTAAGACCAAAGGTAATTCACTGCTGTATGTTACTCTTTGTTATAACCTGCATAGAGATAACATAAGATATCTTAGTACTGCGTGCAGCCAAAAGAATTATGGGATTGGGAGAACCAGAGAACAAATTATGACTATTAACCTCTAAATACGTCCAATTACAGACTAAAAATATACACGAAAGAGAGATGTTTCTCTGGGCCCTCTAACTGTCTTTCCAAAAGACTTAATTTGGTGTAATGATACAAGAAATGTAAGACTCGAGTTTAGTTTTTGCCAGTCTTTTAAAAGTTTTGTACAGCAGAAGAAGAAACCTTGGGTTCTCGGCCAGTTATTTACTGGCCATGTACCCTTGGCAAGTTTCTGTATCTGAATTGTACCATTAGGATAATACCTTCCTTGCTTACTTAACAAGGTTGTGAGCTGAAGATGTACCAATTATATGTTGACAGTGCATTGAAATAACAAATATTATGCAAATGTCAGTTATTCTTAGTGTTTAGAAGTCAGAAATTGCATTCTCTTTATCATTTATTGAGCATCTCGATTATTTATCAGCCAGTGTGCTGGGCACCCAGGACATAGAGATTAAAAGTATAGAACATACACCAAAAAGTCACTAGTGGTTATCGCTGGGGTAGATGGAATGTGAGATTTAAAGAGTGGTAAAGAAGGACTTTATCATATAATTCTATATTATGTACTGTTATTGTTTATTTGTTTAGTGTTAAAAAAGAGCACATATTCATGACTTGTATAATTTTTAAAGGAAAAAGGGGATTAATAAAAGTATGGAGTACTTATGCTATACTTCTGAATGTTTTAAATATATTAATGTATTTAATCCTTAACCCTGTGAAGTAGATACTTATATTATCCCCACTTTACAGATGAGGTAATTGAGTCACAGTGAGGTTAGGTAAATTTCCAAGGTGCATATAGTCAGGTTTTGAATCCAGGCACTTTGGCTGTAAAGCCCTCATGGTCAATTTCTCAGAATGATTGTTTTCTATTGGGGCAACAGATAAGCAAGAAATAGTTACCATACAGTGTAAAGGGAAGGACAATTGAGGTCATATTCCAATACATGCATATTATTTTTATACATATAACACAATGTGAAGGAGTGCCAGAGCCTGCCTTTGAGAATCAAGGATGTTGCATTGAAACTGAGACTTAAAGAATAACAAGGTTTTACCGTGTTTGTAAGAGATCAAGTACGGGTAGTCACATGCCAAGGTGCATGAAAGTGTATGACTGTGAAATGTGCGCCAGCAGGGACCCGTCCACTGCCGGAGTGTAATCCAGTCAGTTCAGATCTAAGACAGCCCCAAACCAACTCCGGTGGACCCACCATTGACTGGTATTTTCATTATTTAAAATTCTTGAAAGAATAAAAGTTTGAGTACACATTTTAATCTCTTTGATCTAATACAGGTTTCTAAAGTATTGGAAGAATTTGATGTTGAAGAACAACCAAGCACCTTGTTAGAAAATCGCTTTCCCAACATTAAGGTTATAGAATCTGGAGTGAAGCAATTGAAGAGCGAAGAACACGTAAGAGGATTTTTTTCTTGATGACCTTTGCCATTTGTTAAATCTTGGTGAGGTTTTGCCTGCCTTCTTTTGACCCCACCTGTCCAACCACCACCCAGGTCCCTAGCATGTAAATTGTAGTGACTTTAATTTCCATTATTTTTAGAAAAATTTACACCTTTTGTGAGTTTTTTTGGGCTTATGTGATTGGTTTAGTTTGGCATTTTAGGTTTTACATTTCAGATTCACATTCACATTTATATAGGGTTCACTGTGTTCTGGGCCTTGCGTTAATATCGGGAGACACTAGCAGTAATAGAAGGAGCCTGCTCCTGGGGACTCTCATTGTCATGGGAGTGTAGACATGCATACATTTAATGTATGCACATGGGAAAAATAACAGTTCTTGAGATATTATCAAAATTCTGATATTAGATATTTAGGAAGACTTCACAGATTGAGTAATGTATGAGCTATGTTTTAAATAATGGGTGAATTAAGAGTTCTCCAGATGGAAAAGGGCATTCCAAGAAGAGGAGATTGCATGTTCAAAAGACCCAAAGAAAGGAAGGGGGGCATGTGGAATAGTGAGGTTGTTGAAGGAATTGGGATGTGGATAAGTAAAGGAGATTGGCGGATGAGGCCAGAGAAATAAGGAAGTAAGATTGTGAAGAACTTTTTATGTCTTGCTAAGAAATTGAGTTAATTTATAATCAATGGAGAAGCAGTGAAGAGATTTTAAGTGGAAGCCAGGATGAAAAAATAGATATTCTTTTAGGAAGGTGTTTCTGACAGCAATGTCAAGGATGAGCTGGGGTAGAGCGAGGGGCTGGTGGCCAACAACCAAATTAGAAGGTGGGGATAGCAGTCCCAAATGGTGTAAGGCCCAAACTGGGACAGTCTCAGGAAAGGGGGTTGTCAGATGATTACCAGCATCTTCAGGTGAGCTGTAGGCAAGTTGGGAGATCGAGTTTGTAGTTGTTTCTCTAAAGCAGCTGTAATTTGTGAGTTCTCCCTCAGGGAGAAAACATACCTGTCACATTTGAAACAAATAATTAGACAGGAGGAAAAAAGTAAGAAAAAGTTCTAAGTTTATGAGAAAAATACTACAAAAAATATTATTAATCTGAATCCCCAAACCAGAGTAAGTTCCTAATACTTGTAGTGGTAGTTCTCACTCCTTAAAGCACCCATGTCAGTTAAGCTGCAGACTGAAGTCGGCTCAAAAGTGTCAGGATGCATCATGAGGGAACTTACATATCAGGGCATTTAAGTGAATCAGAGTGCCCCCCGTCGCCATTTGAACAGTATCCTCCATGAGATACACATCTGGATACGTGTCTGCATCCTCTTGTCCCTCTTTCATGTTCTTTAGTAAGTTAAAAATGATGTGTTTTACCTTCATGCCTACTTTCAAAAAAGTAACAGTAACCAGTGAAGAGTTTCTGTGTTTTTATAGTAGCTAAATACAGGTTATTTTTAAAATTTGGTCAGTGTCTATAATTAACTCTTTGTTAGTTAAAATTCTCACCAGATTATCTAAAGGAAGACTCACATAAAATTTCTGTATGATTATACTGTGTTGGATTATCAGTTTTATGTGTTTATCATGCAGAGATAAAATGGGTATCAAATGTCTCATTGGGTGTGGAAGTACTATTTGCCAACTTTTATAAATCAAAACACATGACACAGACTTGAACCCCCTAAACCATTCCAGCAAAGTCTAGCATCTGTCAAAGCAGCGTATGTTTATGTATATCTGCTTTCTAAATGCTACTACTTATATGTAGCTATTCATTCAAGGTTAAGAAAAAGAAACACTTGATCTCTAACATGTACTTTTAGATTCATCTAAATTAAAGAGCATGTAGTTTGCTGGTAAAGTAATTGTTATTTCTATTTAAGAATATAGATACTGTTTTTTAGCACCAAGTTTTTTTAGATTAAGCAGGCACATTGTGACCTTTTCTACCACACACTACTCCCCTGTGCCTATCATAGATATTATGGTATGATAACGATTAGATTCACTAGATCTTCTTAGAGTAACATCCATTGAGATCAGAAATGGTCATCAAATCAATGTTCATCAGAATACTCAATTAAAAAATTTCTGTGTGTTTAGTTTTTAATCTGAGGTCAGCATGCTTTTCCAAAACATCATGAGATTCCTTAAGTTTTATACAAAATTTTGTTGGAATGTACTTTTTTTTTCCATGGGAGAAAAAAAGTAAAAAATCTGGTTTTCATCAGATTTTTTAAATGGTTCATGGCCCTAATATGATTAAGAATCACTTGATTGGATTGGAGAATGCATTCTCGTGCTGAAGCTTTATCATAAGTATTGGCTGCCACCAAGAGGCAGCCTTAATGTATTTTTTGCTTTTGTCTTATTGAATATTTAAAGTGAAATTGTACCCGCGTGTAATGTTATGGCTCTCCCCTTCATCGCTCTATGGTTTTACAGTGCGTTTTAACTGAAGATGGCAATCAGCATTTGTATAAGAAACTCTGTCTGTGTGCTGGAGCTAAACCGAAGTTGATATGTGAAGGAAATCCTTATGTATTAGGAATCCGCGATACAGACAGTGCTCAGGTAACATCTGACATTGGGTTGTGGGGGAAAAAAATGAAGATTTCTTAGACTTTATGTTTCAATCAAAGTATTCCATTGAAAATGTTAATTCCTAAACTGTAGGAGCAGAAGGAAGGTTTTTTGCTTCATGAGCCATAAACCAAAAAGTAGTTATCATGTTTTATTACTGCCAATTTGAGTTGAGTTTTAGCTGATACTTTATCTTATTTCTTAATTCATGTTCTTTGCATTATGTGATCTCCCAGATATGATAACTATGCAAAAGGTGACAACTTACATTGTATACACATTCATTACTCTACTCTGACTGAGAATATGTGATTTGCCACCTAAGTAATGTAATGGTCTTTTTCTTAAAAGGTAAAGCATGTCCCAAACTCACTCCTCAGCAAAGAAATTAATATTGCAGAAGTCTTTCTGATACAGAATCATGACTGAATCCTAGAACTGAAGAAGACACTTGGTTTATTGTTCTGCTCAAGAACAGTGGTAAACTGTCCCAAGAAGGTGAAACTATCTGCAGAACCTTAGACAGCTTTCCGTGGTCATTCACTTTAGGGGTTATTAACCCTTACTGCTCAGAAACTCTTGGTTTCCAGACACAGTGCTCTTGCCTCAGGTCATTGTTGTTGCTCTGTCCCATGACATGATAATTTTACATTTATATAATGAGGTTTTATGGTCTTGATAATATTTTCTTTGAGCTCGTTCTTAATTAGATAGGAATTCAGAGAATACTAGAAGGACTGGTTATCTTCCTGTAAACATTTTCGGTTCATATTATCAAAGATTGAGTTTATAGTTATGTTCCAAAGAGGTCCCCTACATACATACACTCGTTGAGTCCTCCTGATGATCCTGTGTGACAGTCATTACTCACACTCTGCAGAGAGGAAGTGGAGATGGAGGGATGAAGTCAGTTACCTGTACTAAAGTGGTTACTAAGTGTACCAGAGGTATAAACTCATGACATTCACCTCCATGGCCAGTGCTCTTTACACGTCTTTCTTAAATTACCTACTGCCTTCAATGAAAAACAGACTAAAATTAACTTCAGATTTTTTTCTTATAGAATTTTAAAGAAGCCAATGTTTAGTGGTTATTTATTAAATATTACAATAAGTTTTGGGGT